AGGCGGGGCATCTGTCCACGGCGCCAAGGCTTTGCTACACCAGTAGCACGTCTGCTTGGTCTTCCAATTCCAGGCGTACGAGCAGGAGTAGCACTTGACGTAGGCGCTGCGCTGCTGCGGAGGCGCCATGGACGAGCTGAGGAACAGAGAAAGCTCACCTACGGGCAGCAGGAGGCACACGGAGAGTTGAACAAAGCTGTCGGGCTCAAGAGCCCTGGCACTGGCCGCGGACTAACGGTATCCACTTGTTCCCCTGTGGAACTAGGCATCTTGAGCCAAAATGGCTTGAGCCAAAATGGCTACGGAAGGGGAGGGGGAGGAGGAGGAGGAGGAGGAGGAGGAGGAGGAGGAGGAGGAGGAGGAGGAGGAGGAGGAGGAGGGAGGAGGGAGGGAGGAGGAGGGAGGAGGAGGGAGGAGGAGGGGGGAGGAGGGGGGGGGAGGATGATGGAGGAGGGGGGAGGAGGATGAGAGGACAAGAAAATGGAATCAGGACGCCGTATAAGCACCAAGGTGCGTTCCTTAGACAGATGACTGCGAGCATGAAGGGCCGGAAGTCGTTTATGCAAGCGTTGTCATTGAGAAGGTGATTGGACTAGGGTCATATTCATCACTATTCATTGCATTTCATTGCCGCACGCATCATTTCAACTTCGGCTGCTGTGGCTAGGGTCATATTCATCACTATTCATTGCATTTCATTGCCGCACGCATCATTTCAACTTCGGCTGCTGTGGCGGAAATCGACGAAGTACCAGGATAAGCAGGTAGGGAGGAGGTGGCAGCAGGCCCTCCCCGTCGGTGGCGATCGCGGGCTTAGCCTAACTCCGCCTTCTCAGTCTGGACCTGGAGCTTGCCATGTTTGGAGAGATGCCTCCAGTACTGCGCGAGGCATGCAGAGAAATCGTGAACCTCCCCCCCAGTGTGCCGAAGGGGGGGGGGTCAGGGAGGGGAGGTTGGCGCACCTTCGGCCAAGGTACGTGCGCGGACGAAGGGGGCGGCTGGGAAGAGCACGAGGGCGCCATGGCACCTGGGAGATGCCATGGCCGCGGCCATGACACCCACTGACTACCTACCAAACCACCCCAACCCAACCCGAAGACCCGAATGACCCCCATCCCACTGGAAATGGAGGGCAAATCGAGGCCTGCGGGTTGGGTTGGGGTTGGGTTGGCAGGTGGTGACCGACAGATCCCTAAACATCCCCACGCCCTGCAGAACAAGGAAGATTGGCGTAACCATACTCAAACCTTCCGCAGCCCGCGCGGATCTGCTGGATCGGCGGGCGGAGCGCGCCAGGGGAGGCGCCAGCAGGGGGGTCCAGCGCCGATGCAAAACATCGACGCGGACCTCTGGAAACACCGGAAAGAGAGCCCAACGACACCCGTCAAGACATCGACGCGGACCTCCGGAAGCATAGACTCATGTTCGACTTCTGGACGCCCCCGAACTCATCTTCCAAGCCTCCTGGAACGAGAGCCAACGACAACCGTCAAGACATCGACGCGGACCTCCAGAAGCATAGACTCATGTTCGATTTCTGGACGCCCGGAAGCTCATCTTCCAGGCCTCTCGGAACGAGAACCAACGAGAAAACGGTCTGACCCTTTTTTTCTCCTCCCAGGGAGGGAGCGTTCCTCAAGGCTTAGGTCAGGCATGTCTCCCTACAGACGGATATTGGACGAACATTAGAAAATTAATCAAACAATACTCCCAAATGGTCAAACATTGTAAACAAAAAATCGCCCCTAAAATTTGTTTGTTCAATTACTATGTTTGACTATTCCTCCTGTAGGGAGACGTGTCCGACTTAAGTCAAGGCCCCCCCTCTTTGTCTTCAGAGCGGCTCGATCTGCCCTGGGGAGGGGGAGGGCGGGAGGAGGGGCCGGCAGCGAGGCGGAGGAGGGACGCCGAGTGGCGCTGCCCTCCTCCTCCTCCTGCTCCTTCTCCTCCTCCTCCTCCTCCCTCCCTCCTCCTCCCTCCCTCCTCCCTCCCTCCTCCTCCCTCACTCCTCCTCCTCCTCCTCCTCCTCCTCCTCTTCCTCCTCCTCCTCCTCCTCCTCCTCCTCCTCGCCTCTTCGTTCTTCGCTGCCCGCGCCTCGCTCCCCCCTCACGTCCCTCCTCCGCCTCGCTGCCCGCTCCTCCTCCTCCTCCTCCGGCCCTCCTCCTGCCCAGAGCAAATCGAATCGCCCTGAAGACAAAGGGGGGCCTTGAGGGACGCTCCCTCCCCGGGCGGAGAAAAAAGGGGTCAGGCCGTGTGTTCGGTGGCTCTTGCTCCGGGGGGGCCTGGAAGACAGGTCGGGAGCGTCGACAAGTCGAACGTGAGTAGAGGAGGATCGAGGATCGAGGAGGAGGAATGAGGAGGAGAAAGAGGAATGGGAGGAGGGAGAGGAGAACGGGAGGGGAGCCGGGGGACGGGAGACGGAGCGAGGTGCGTCCAGGAGGGAGCCGCGGGCTCTCAGATGATCCCCGCGTCGCGGGGCACGAGGGGCAGGCAGCAGTTGATGAAGCCGCCGGCGGCGCTCTTCTCAAAGAAGTCCATCTTCTTCCACCCCACCCAGCCCTTCGAGGGGAGAAGGGGATCCAGGACAAGATCGAGCCACAACGCTCTCGATTCCAACCCAGGATAGGATCGAGCTGCAACGCTGTCACTTCCAACCGCTGAACCTCATGCGAAGTATGGTATGACCGCCCCGATGTGTGTTTGAGCCTTCTTGGGTCTCCTGGGGGGGTGGGGGGGGGCATGCGACCCCAGCAATATGTTCCCCAAGAGTCTGGCCACAACACACCCCAGGAGAGGCCCTCTGCTCCGCCCGAAAAACTTGCACACCCAAAGGCCCAGGGGGGCGAGCGAGGATCCTGGTCGTGAGTCTCGTGTACAAGATTCCCTTCCTGGGGCGTGGTTTTTGTATACCGACAGTGGCCCCGGGCGGTGGAATCTGACTGGGGCGGGGAGGGTGTGATATACAACAAAATCTTGAGGATCTGTCACGAAAGAGTCCGGGGGCGCATGGCGGCTGCCCGGCGTGGATTTCTGCGAGGGGGGGGCCCGCTGCGGGCCCCCTGGGGCGTGGAGAGACTACCCGGTCGCCCTCGTCACCACGGCTGGACCGTCGCCGCCATCGACCATCGGGGGTCTGCATGTTTTTGTGCTGGCGTTTTGGAGGTTTGGGGGGGCTCCTGGGGCGCTCTGGTCGGGGGACACGTCCAGGAGCTCTCGCAATCGCTCGGACGTCCATTCCCCGTGCGTGCACTTCTCAGCTTCGTACTTTTGTTGTTTTTTTTCGCGAGATGAACCCAAGTGCTCCTCGATGGCCCTCGCCGAGAAAAATGCACACGTCCAATCGATACCAAGGGCTAAGTTTTTGAGAGAGGGGGGGGGGAAGGGGAATGTCGAGGAAAGCGCTCTCGGGTCTTCGTGGGGAGTCTGGCGGTATAGGGGTGTCCCGTGACGGACACGAAGGCGGAAAGGCGCGGGGCGATTCGAATCAGGGCGATGAAAACATGTTCGAGGCTGCACCAATCGGGTCGGGGATTGGCAGAGGTGTGGTCCTGGCCGATCGTGCCCCGATCTTCTCGAGCCATTCTGGAGCCCCTGGGGCCCTCTGGGCCTGATGACGGGTGATCTGGTGGCCCCTGTGCCCTGTGGGCCCCCCAGGAAAGCCCAATGGCACCGTGGGCCAGGGACCCGGGGGCGTCCAAGAGGGGCGGTCGCAAATCATGGCTCGAGGCATGTGCGCGGCCCGGGGGGGGACCAGGGGACGTGTGAACATAAGAAGAGCGGGCCATGATATCTGGGGAGATGTCGTGGCCCTAGCCTTAAGTCGGGCGTGCCCCCCTACAGGCGAATTTTGGACGAGAAATAAAACATACACCCACCAGGGCCGACTTGTTCGATCGGGCGCAACGCAACGCAACGCCAAAATGCTCCAAAATGGTTGAAAATACTCCAAGAGCGACACGCCCGACTTAACCCTAGCCACGACATCCCCCCCCTCCTCTTGGCCGCCCCCGAATTTGCTCGAGAGCCGTGCGGACAGCCCCCTTCGGAGGACGGGGTCTGGAGCTCGCTGCCGCTCACTTCGTGCTCTCCTCTCGCCCAGCCTTGCCCAGAATCGTCTTCATCTCGTCCGCGCCAGTGAAGTGAGGGTCCACAATCATGAAAGCGACCTCTCCAGACCCGGCATCGTAACCTTTGGAGGGAAACGCAAAGCGACTCCGGAACACGAGGGAACCGAGGAGGGGAGGGGACCCGGAAAGGGTCGGCGAGGAGACGGGGATGCGTGGAGACAAGGTATGGGAGGGAGAGGTGAGGGGACGCGAAGAAGAGGACCAGAGCAGATCAGAGCAGAGCAGCACCAGTGGTCCGATAGAGCTCCTCAGACTACACGGCGACGGCTGAGGGCCACAAAAACTGGAAAATTGCGGACCAGGCGCTCGTGAACCACTTTCGAGGGGCACATGAGTGAGTGCGGCCCTGCAGGGAGATACCTCAGGCCTCAGGCGATACCCTCTCAGGGGACACTGCGAGGGCTCGCCCTGGCACAACCCCAACTGGGTCTCAAGGCCCGGGACGACCCACACGTCGGATGGGCGCGAGGACCCTGCCAACCGTACCTCCCCCAGAGAGCTCTCGGCAAGGCGCAGCGCCTGAGAGGCCTCGGAGAACGCTGAAAACACGCACGGCGTCAAGCAAAGTTTCGATGGGGGGGACACCTGTTCGGAGTTGTTTAGCACAGCTTTTGTTATAACAGTGTTTGTGAAGCACAGTTCCTTTATCACACAAGTTTAGTTTCTAAACACAGTCTTGATCACACGTGTTAAAACAAAAACAACAAAAAAGCACGTTGAGCTCTGGGGCTCCGGGGACGGGCTTGAGCATTGGCGTGGCAGCCCGAACCTGAAAGGCGGCTAGGCGGGCACGGTGGAGCCTCTCGCACCCACTTGTAGGATCGGCGGCGACGGTAAGGGCGAATAGCCCTGGGGCGGGCATTACACGCATTCGCCCGGGACCCTCGCCGAAGACATAGATCATCGGCGCCACTGGATACATGTATTGCTCCCCACTGGGCTATTCGCCCCAATCGTCGCCTGCGATAGGAGGAGGAGGAGGAGGAGGAGGACCAGAGCTGACCGATTCCCTGAGAGCAACGATCACAGCGGCGCAGAAACGTAAATTTTCGGAGGTCCGCTCTGCTTTCCGAGATGGACGCTACACCCCCTCCCCTGGCGAGCCCGAGGTCGCACTGGAGGCGCCGCCACGGGGTTCCGGCGCAGATCCAGGAGATCCGAGCGGAGCTCCAAGAGTGCACGTGCATGCAGCCTCTCCTTCGCCGGGAGAGGGAGAAGAACAAGGATGAGGAGTGGGAGGACGATGGTGATGAGGGAGGATGATGAGGGCCGCGATGGATGATGATGATGATGAGGAGGAGGAGGATGCTGATGCTGATACTGCAGATGATGATGATGATGATGATGATGATGATGATGATGATGATGATGATGATGATGATGATGATGATGATGATGATGATACTGCATATTATGACGATGATGATGATGATGCTGATGCTAATGCTGATCCTGATGATGATGATGATGATGATGATGATGATGATGATGATGATGCGGATGCTGATGCTGATGATGATGATCATGGTGGTGATGATGATGGAGCGTACCCATTGCTGATCACCATCCAGCGACAAGTCCCATCGAGGAGAGGCACGCGTGCATTTTTTTGTTGCACGGCAGGGGGACGGGCCACACGCTGGAGTGCAGCTGGCAAGGCCACCCAAGGGCCCCCCTTCACGGGGCCGGGGGGACCTTGGGTACCGGGTACCAAGTCGGGCGAAAGGGGGGATGGGGAGCAAAGGGGGGTCAAGCATCATCATCATCAGCATCATCATCATCATCAGCGTCATCATAGTCATCATAGCCGTCATCATCATCATCATCATCATCATCATCATCATCATCATCATCATCATCATCATCATCACCAGCTCGCGCGGCTCATTTTCCTGGCGCCTCCTGGTCTCAGAGGCGCCAGCATGTCGAGGAGCGCGCTTGGCGGCGGGGCCAAAACGGGCTGCACGCAGCAGATGTCGCCGCTCCCCTTCCCCGTAACCCCCCCCCCATCGCCCGATTTGGGAGCCGGACGGGTAGGTGAAGATCTTGAACTACCGATCGGATGCAGACGCACATGAGGAGAAAAATCCTGAGGACAGTCATAATTAGGATCCTCGTTTAGGATTTTCGCTTTCGGATCCTAGGAGTTGAGCCATGATGCAGATCCATTTCCTGCCTCCTCCCTCCTGGTCTGATCGTTCCCTTCTCTTCTGGGGGAGGGAGGAGGAACGAGACAGGAACACTCGACATCGAATCAAGAAATCGGATCGGATCCGAACAGGTATCGAATCAGGCCGCATCGGCACGAAATCGGAATCGAATCGAATCGGCGGCGCCAGAATACAGAACAGCGCCATGCACACACTCGTCCCAGCATCGGAATCGAATCGAACGGGGCCAGTCTTAGGCCAGAGCCAATACCGAATCGGATAGGTCAAGTAAAAATACGCCCTCGACGAGGTGGATCTGTATCCGCCACCGTGCCCCGTGGCACGTTCGTTCAGGCGCGGAACACTGCCCAGGGCTGTTTCGCAAGGTTTCTGTAGATTTCCTGGGGGACACCCCGTCTCTCCGAGGGGTTCCCCCCCTCTTTCTTGGCATTCCCTCGCGCGCATCGCCCCCCCCCCCCCCCCCGCCCGTCAACTCCTGCATAAAAACTATAGATCCGCGCTCCCGAAGCCACGATCCCTCGGAAAAGACGTGTGCACCCGCGCTCCCGAAGGCACCATCCCATGCACAATACAGTCGATACGCACTTCCGCTAGGCCACGATCCCTTGAAACAAAAAGACAGGTCCGCGCTCCCGAACCCCCAAGGCGACCGGAGCAGGCCACCAAGACCGCCAAGATGGGTGAATATGCCTCAAGGGCGCCCTGCCCCAGACGGACCTAATCGGTATCGAGACGGCCTGAGGGGCCATCAGAACGGACCAAAAAAAACAACCAGAGGACCCCAAGTAGGGTTCGCAAGTGCCAAAATCGTAATTCAGATTCTCCTGACGTCTTACAAAACTTGGACGTCTTTACATTGTCGGACTTCCCTCAGCTCCAAACGGCCCTGAATGCCTCCAAGAATGTTCCCGCAGACGGCCCCCAGAATGGCCCAGGAAATCCTCCCGGACGGCCCGAATACAACCCACGATGGCCCGTAGATGGCACAGGACGGCCCCAAATGAGTTCCAAAATGGCAAAACATACCGGTTTTTATAAGGTTTCGCGACTTCACAATGCGTTCCCAAGGCGACTCCACGACGGGCGAAACAGACGACCCACGAGCGCCACAAGAGGCAAGGTTACGGCATCCGACGGGGGCTTCTAATTAAACCCCCCCTTTCTTGATAGATGACCTTCACGATATCCCCAAGAGGCACCCCCCAAAAAAACCCAGGAGCGCCCCAAGAGGTCTCACAATGAAATCAGAATCGCCCCCGCAGGGCCCCAATCTGGCCCAAGTAAGCTGGCATGAGCCCCCACATCGAAAGATCAGCGAAGGCATTTACGGTGGACGCATGGGCCTGCTCAGGTACCCGGTCTTCGGTTTGAGGGCTGCCCTCCCCTCGCTGCTCTACTGCAAGCTCCCGCAGTTCCCTGATCGACGCCACGCACCTCGGCGTCGTTGCTGGAGAGGCTGATGGGGATACTGGGATACTTCTTTGATTGCGAGTGACGCGGAAGAGGCCGCGCGCCGTCAACAGGATCGATCAGCGGAAGAGACGAAAGTGAGGGTCAGGCACAGCGCAACTGTCGCCGCCGACGCGCGGGAAAATTGACAAGCGATGCACAGCGGCAGCGCGGAGGCGGGAGCGAACGAGGACACAGAAGAAGGCAAAAAAGCAAGAGACCAGGCAAGAAAGAGAGGAACGAAGGAGAAAAGGAAGAGACGGCGGGCGCGCAGGGGATCAGGCTCAGGCGGCAAAGAGGTCGAAGTACCTTGCCGAAGAGCAGGGACATGAAGTACTGATGGGGGTCGCGGCACCACAGACGCACACCAAGCGCACGAGGCATACAATCCAGCAAACCGTCTCCAGGGCCACATCATGGACCGGCCAGACGCCCTCCAGGAGCCATCAGGGAAGCAAGCACGCCCCAAGTGCGACGAGGAGAAGAACCGGAAGGGTTGCCCAGTGGCGACAGTGACGAGTCCGCCCAGCCAGGGAGATGGACGTCAACCTGTCTCGTATGCGACACAGTGCGGGGCACGCCGACAATAGCCAACGGCCCGATGGGGGTCGGCGCGGACGCGCCAGGAACAAGCGCCTGCTGAAAGGGGCCCACGCAGCATGTGACGGGCGTACGATCTGGTAGGGTGCAGCTGACAGCCGCAGAAGAGAGTGAAGGGTTCCGCCTGAGCCGTGTTGCTGCGCTGGCAAAGGACGGCCTGGGCCGCTCCGATGCTCAGAACAAAAGGGATACCCGGATACTTTTTTCGGTCGCGGGTGGACGCGGATTCGCAGTCGCCGAACTGAGAGGTCCTGGCCACGGGCCTGTCAAATTAGCAACGCGCAAGGGATACCGGGATACTTTTTGGTCGGCGGCCGCGCGACAACGGTCTGGCGGCGAGAGGCAAAGTCCGGGGCGTGCGGCACGATGCGAATTTGCAAACACCGCCGCCACGTTGGCAAAGATACCGGCATTTTTTGTTTTACAGCCGCAGGCGGAAGCGCCAACGGCGGGAGGTCGCAAAGATACCGGCATACGCGAAGCGTCAAGAAACATTACACAACGGCTGGGGAACACATAGCCAAATATATTGGCCAGACGTTGGCCCGCCGTTTGGCCACCGGCGGTGGTTCTCCGTAGGCGTCTTCGATCCGCAGCCCCCTGTGCTTGCCACAGGGATGCTAGGCGTGCCGACTGATAAAACACATTGAAATCCTTTTTACCAAGTTCCCACTGATCTTCGGCCCGACCCGCCCGACCCCCGAAGACGAGCAATATGGCCCCAGGATGGCTCAACACGTCCCCAAGAGGGCTTGAGAACCTCTCCTGGGGATCTCTTGGGCCGTCTCGGAGGCACTCGGGGCCGGCCCAAGAATCCCACATCGTCGAAACGACCCCGGTTGTTCACTGAGGCTCGGACGCCCCTCTTTTCTCTTCGATCCAGGACGGCCCAGGAACCCTCCCAGGACCAGCCCCGGGCGGCACGACCGAGCCGCCCAGAGGGCCACAAGACGGCAGCCAGACGGCCCACCAAAGGGGGCCCCGAGGCGGTCCGCGAGGCGCGAGGGCACCGCGAGGGCCCGAGGCTGCTGCACCAGGGCCCGAGAGCGGCGGCCCCCGAGGGGCCTCCCACGGAGGGCGTCCGACGGCGCCAGACGGCCCAGGGCTGCCCCGAGAAGGCCACAGATGCGGTGGAGGCCCGTCCACGAGAAACCTTCCACGAAGCACCCAAGCCCGAGACCCCAGGACGTCCATGGATTTCTGGTGTGGGAAACGTCCAGGCCTTCCATAACAAGCCATCGAGTCCCAAGAAACCCAGGGCACCCTGGAGGCAAGCAGGGCGCTTCTTGGCACGGGCATCCACTGTGTCCCCCAGACGGCCGAAGGTGGCCCCAGGAGGTACCCCAGAAGGACAAAACTGGCCAAGCAATAGTCCCAAGAAGTCCCCGAGAAGAATCCGGGGATAGCCCCAGAAGGCCCCTCGACAGCGTTCCCCCCATCTTGCTTCCCCAATACCTGGGGGAACACGCCGTCTATAGGCGTGGCTGCACTTACGCTGAACATGTTACACCTGTGTTTCAAAAAGGCGGGGAGCGGCGGTGACTCGCCGAAGGCGTCTTCGAGTCTGAATATCAGGACCCTGTGACGTGTATTTGTGAGGCACCGATGATGCGAGAACGCGATGTTCAAACTGATGGAGATGTTACGCTTGTGCGGGAGTCCAACCCAGCAGCCCGGCTAGCCCAAGAAAGAGAGGAGATGAAATAAGGGGTCAGGAGTGAAGTGAAGGATGAGAAGGAAGGGGGGGAGTAAGAGACAGCGGAGGAGAAGCGACGAGTATAAGGACAGGGAAGGAGCAGGCGGGCAGGGGACGGAGTCAACGGAGGCAAGGGGAGGGGGGGGGGGCAGGCGGGCAAGGAGAATTGAACGGGAGGGCCTCGCAGACGCAGTGGGGGGACGGGAGAGGATGGGAAGGGAAGGGGACGGGCCGAGAAAAACAGAGGGGGAGGATCAGTCCAAGGAAGTGACATATGCCGACGAGCGTGTACGCGTAGTTGCCCACCCCCATCATGATCGGGCTGCCCTGGGCCTCCAGGTGCTGCAGAAGATTCGGCACCTGCGTCGCCATGTCGCTGGCATCCTGCGAGGGGCCGTCGAGAAGAACGGACGGAGGGAGCGTACAGTGGGGGTCCGACTACAAGAAACCTGCCACAAGAAAACAAACCCTGAGACCCGAGGACGTCCATCGATTTTTGGTGTGGGAGCGTCAATCTTTCCATGGCGAATCCGTCGAAACCCAAGAAACCCAGGGCACCCTGGAGGCAAGCAGGGTGTTTCTTGGCATGGGCATCCACTGTAGGGGGGAAAGGGGGAGCAGGAGGGGAAGGAGGGCATTATCGCCAAGCCGTTGGAACCATAGGAACACATTCCCAAAAATCTAGCATGCGGAACCCACCGCGACAGGTGCTGCCCCCCCCTCCCCGAGAGGCCCTGAAGTGCCACAAGAGACCCCAAGAGGCCTCCAGGATCCAACAAGAAGCCAAACAACGTAAGTGATTCAAAGAGTTTGGTCGTCAAACCTCCCTCTTCTCCTTTGGGGGCGAGGCGATCATTGCCCCCTGATGCCATACAACCCCTCCCCCGCCCGACTGGCGCCAAACCTGGGACCATGAGAACCCCACCCCACCATTCCTTGCACAAGAATCGTACAACATTAACTTTGCACAAGGTTACCGGATCATGCGCGGAAGCACCGAGATCACTCTGCTTAGGTGTTTGACAGGGACGGCGGGAGCGGCGTCATATTGCGTGCTGAGCGCGATGCTGACACCCCAGGCCGTCCCTGGCAAAAACCAAGAAAGGGCACTTGCCCCCCACGCAAAACAACGTCAATGCAGAATCTGGATATGTGCGGGCATCAAACGATCACGTTACGATATTTGTTGAAAGGGGCGGAAGGGGGCTGGCACATTGCCGGGCTGCGCGCAGGTCAATCACTCTGGCCAAACACAAACACGATATATATATATATATATATATATATATATATATATATATATATATATATATATATATATATAATATATATATATATACTAGAGCCATCGCGCGCGCTTCGCGCGCGCTTAAGTTCTAGCTAGCTCCTTGGGGCCTCCACGGAGCATCCTGGACTGCTTCTTGAAGTCGTCATGGGGCCTTCTTGGCATGTCTTCAGGGGCCTCTTAGAAAGAGTTTTGAAGCCTTTTGGGTGCCGTCTTGGGGCCTCTTGGAGCCTCTTTTGGGCTTCTTGGGGGCCTCTTGGGGCCTTCTGGGGGCCTCTTGGGGCATCTTGGGGGCCTCTTGGGGCCTCTTGGGGGCTTCCTGGGGGCATCTTGGGGCCGTTTGGGGGCATCTTGGGGCGGAGAGCGTGAGTTTTCAGCTCGCGTTCCCTCTCTTGGGCCCCTCTTGGGGCCTTCTTGGGACCCTCTTGCGCCGTCTTGGGCGGCTCTGGGGCCGTCTCGGGGCTCTCTCGGGCCGTCTCGGGGCCCTCTTGGGGGCCTCTCGGGCCTTCTCCCTCTGGGACCCCTCTCGGGCACGCCTTGGGGCTCTCTTAGGCCATTTTCGGGGGCGGAAAAGAGGGGGGTGATGACTAGGGGGGGGTCGATATCATGGCGGGGGCCATGATATTTCCCCAGATGTCATGGCGCCTCTTCTTATTCCATTACGTCCCTGGCCCCCCCGCTGGGCCGCGCACGTGCCGCCGGTCATAATTTGCCCCCCCCCCTCTTGGACACCCCCCTCTTCGCCGCTCCCGACATTTTGGAGTTCAATTTTGCCGTCCTGGGCGCCTCGTGAACCGTCTTGGGACTCTCTTGGGGACCACCTAGGCCGTCTTGGGGGCCTCTTCGGACGTGTTGGACGCGGTGAAAACCCAGCAGGCGACCATGCGAAAAGTATACGTTTTCCCACAGGAATGGGACCATGTTTGCTTCTTGGACCTCTCTTGGGGTGCCTCTCGGAACGTCTTGGGCTGATTTTGGAAGCCTTTTGGCGCCTCTGGGCAGCGTTTTGGCGCCTCCTGGGATGTGTTGGGCCGGAAGCTCGGAATTCGAGAGTGGCTTTCTCCTTCTGGGACCCCTCTCGAAGTCGTCTTGGGGTTCTCTTGGGCCGTCTTGGGGCCGTCCTGAGCCACTCGTGCGCAGCCTTGGAGCGCTCCCGGAGGCCTCCTAGGCCGTCTTGGAGGCCTCTTGGGCCGTCTTGGACGCGGTGAAAGCCCAAGATGCGAACATGCGAAAAATATACGCTTTCCCATAGGAATGGCACGATTTTTGTTTCTTGGACCTCTCTTGGGGTGCCTCTCGGAACGTCTTGGGGTGCTTTTGGGAGCCTTTTGGCGCCTCTTGGCGGCATTTTGGCGCCTCCTGGAGCCTCTTGGGCCGGAAGCTCGGAATTCGAGGTTGGCTTTCTCCGTCTGGGACCCCTCTCGAACTCGTCTTGGGGCTCTCTTGGGCCGTCTTGGGGCCGTCCTGGGCCACTCGTGCGCAGCCTTGGAGCGCTCCCGGAGGCCTCGTAGACCGTCTTGGGCGCCTCTTGGGCCGTCTTGGACGCGGTGAAAGCCCACGAGGCGAACATGCGAAAAATATACGTTTTCCCATAGGAATGGCACGATTTTTGCTTCTTGGGCCTCTCTTGGGCTGCCTCTCGGAGCGTCTTGGAGGCTTCTGGGACCTTCTTGGTGTCATGACAGGCGTCTTGGAAGGCATCTGGAGCCATCGGAGCGCGTTCCGAAGCCGCCTGCGAACGATCTTGGACGGCGTCCGGCGGTCCGACGAGCCTCCGGGCCCCCCGGGGCCCACATTTGTGGTCGGGGTCCCGGCCCCGGGCCCCCGGACCCGGTGCGCCGTTATATGTATACACATTCTTTAACAACGATCATGCGCGGGAGCCCCGCGTTAATTTTGCATTGTCATTTGAAGAGCATGCTGGGGGGGCCCTGGCGAAGGCACGCGCGGCGCACCTCGTGGGCTTCGCGCGCCTGGCTGGCGTTTGCTTTGCCTCTCGATCATTGTCGATGGCGGCCCTTGCCAGTGCTGAGACTCGAATGCAACTCAAGTGCTACTTCAGTGTAGGGAGGGCGGGTGGGAGTGAGCGAGATGGTCGCTCTTGTTGGGGAGGATGTGCTTACTGTTCCCTATCAATAAACACCCCCTCCTCCAGGCAACGGGCAGCCAACCAGGACCCATGCCGACACCCCATCCACTATCCCTGTTAAAAACAATGCAGTAGAAAACGGTTCCTTCAAATCTGGAGCATGCGCGGGCGCCCCGCGACCACTGAGCACGAAAGTTTGACATGGACGGCGGGGGGGCCTCCTAGTGCTTGCTGCGCGCAGGCCAACCATCCCTGTCACACAACAATGCAAATACACTTTGCCCCCAAATCTGGATCATGAACGGGCGCCCCGCGACCACTTTGTACTGGATGTTGAAAGGGACGGCGGGGCGCCATCATATTCTTTGCTGCGTGCACGCCATGAACCCCATGCCAACTTACAATACGAAGTGCATCGCACTTCCAAATCTGGAACATGCACGGGCACCCCGCGACCACTTTACACTGGTTTTTGGAAAAAGCACCTGGGTGCTACTGATGCATGGGAGGGCGGGTGGGAGTGAGGAAGACGGCTTGTGCCAAAGACGACCGCTGAACATGCTGCGGCTCGGATGCTACTTGTGCGTTGGGGGGACAGGCGGGGGTGAGCGAGACGGCTTGCTGGCGGGGAGGGTGTCTTGACCCCTCCCACATACACCCCCCCGGGTGTGGACGGGGGTTGGGGTAGAGTCAGTATGGACCCGAGAGGTCCTCGGATATCACTATGGCATCGGATACGGCTGAAGATAACCCGAAATTGCTCTGGATTACCTCATGCCTTCAGGAGGCCACATAACGACTTCAAAACGGCCAGAGTTGCTCTAGATTACCTCATACCTTTTTTCAGGATCCTGAGCACACCTGCCGAACCGATTTTCACCTTCTGACCCGCGTGCAAGATGACGTACAGGCCGTTGTTCGCTCTGTGAGTGTAGAGTCGTCTGCACCACGTTGCATGTTGCCTACAGCCTGTCCCGAGGCCACCCATACAGTTCCAAATCAAGGAATCGTTAGGTGGTGGGTAACTGCCAATGACTCTTGGGGGTGATATGTTCAACTGACGTTATGCTTTGTTGTTATGCGTCGCGAAAGCCGTGGTTGCATGTGTCCCTGCGTTGCATTATGGACTAGCGGTAGATCAGCGTATGAAAGCCTGTTGCGAAGTTGTCCCGACGCGTAAAGCGGAGCGTTGTCACGTAGACCCGTGGTGCGTGTGTACATGCTAGAACCATCGCGCGCGCTTCGCGCGCGCTCGAGTTCTAGCTAGGCTTGATGGACTAACTCATGTAATATCATGTTGGTCGTTTCTTGCGTCCAGGGGCTCCCTTGGAGGCCCTGCACAAGGCTCGGGATCGTATACAAGGGGAAATGCTGAAACGCAGAATTTCTTTTAGGTTTTCAACGATTTGGGGCCCTCAGAAGCTTCCTGGGTTCTTCTTTGGGAGGTTACGGGGGGTCTGAATTGTGGTCTGTTGTGCAAGAATAGACCGGGGGCCAAACTTCAAAAAAAACACGGAAAGGTGGGATTTCCATGATTCCCATTTCTCTGCACTGTTCGGCGATGTTTTTGTTTGTGCCTCGCGGGGTTTGTTAGCCGAGCCCCTCACGGGTGTGGGATCTTCTGGACCCCCTGGGGGTTCTGAAGGCCTCCTGGAGGCCTGGAGAACCGTCGAGAGGGTGTTTTGGACTGCTTGGGAGCGTCTTGGTCCGTTCTTTACGTTCTGGGAGCTTCTTGGGGTCGTCATGGGCTGTCCTTCGGCTTCTTGGGGTCTCCCTAAGAAGCCGGGAGGCGCCGTACCGGCCAGATGTCAGGGAATGTGCAGGACCCCCGAGCAGGAGTCCCACTTTCGCAGAACAAGAATTCTGGGAATTCCCTTTTTTCCAAAATCCTCGATCTTCGAGGGTTGGAAGCGGGAAACGTGAGAAGACGAACAACATTAGAAAAACCATTGGAAATCAACGATTTTACCCTCGTTGGGCTCTCTCGGGACGGCTCTCGCAGCTCTCTTGGGCTGTTCTTGGAGCCTCGTCGGGGTCTTTTTGGGGCCTCTCAAAGATCGGGGGTGTGTTGGGGGCCTGTGGGTGGTTCCAGAGGCCTCTCGGAGGTTTCTGGAAGCCTCCTGCTCCCGCTCTTGGGCCCATCTTGGGCCTGTTCTGGGGTGGTCTGGGGCTATCCTGGGCGCCTCTTCGGCAGTCTTGGAGCCTTCTTGGCCCGTCTTGGGTCCGTCCTGAGGGTCTCTTGAGTGGTTTTTGGGCGGTCTTGGGAGCCTCTTCGGCGCACTTGGACCGTTGGAAGCTCGAAAACGCGAGAAGCCAAAAACATTGAAAAACAATGAACATCTGCGATTTTGGCATTTTGAGCCTCGAGAGCCGTCGGAAGGCTGACTTGACTTGGGCTGCTTGGGAGCGTCTTGGGCCATCCTTTCGCATTTTGTGGGTTCCTGGGAGGCGTCTTGGGCCCTCCTGGAGCGCTGACGGGGCTCCCCGGAAAGGCCGGGGGAGTGGTACCGGGAGCGTTCCCGAGATGTGGCGGGAAGGTGTGGGACCTGGGGCCGGGGGGGGCGGTATTTATTCATTTATATATATATATACACACCAAACATCGCGTTGGGACCCGTTGCCGGGCGTAGGCCCGTCGCCGAGTGCAGGCCCGATGCCGGGCTGCCCACGCCAGCTTCTTGGCTCTGCTCCCCGAGGGGATGCCGGCGCAAGGTAGTCCGCACAGTAGAAGCCCACCGACAATAAACCTTTAACAAAAAACCCAACCCTTAGAACCCAGGACGTCCATGGATTTTTGATGTGGAAACGTCGCACTTTCCATCACTTAGCCCATCGAAACTACAGAAACCCAGGGCACCCTGGAGGCGAGCAGGGTGTTTCTTGGAATCGGTCTCCATTGTATCGGCCACCCAAATGGTGCAGTGAAACATCCAAAACAACAGAGGTAGCCACGCCAGTGTGTAGCCACTAGACTGAACGTGCCGCTGCTCGTGGCCGATCCCGCGGGCGCGGAATGGTTTGAGCGCAACGGTGACGGACGACACGATTTGATTGGATGGCACAGCGGTTGGAGGGAAGGGGGGCAGGAAGAGGGAGGAACTGGACGAAGAGTGGGAAGACAACGCAGAGAGGGGGGGGGGGAAATATGCCGATGAGGAAGAGGAGGTGAAGGCGCATGAGGAGGATGACGAGGAAGATTGTGGAGAAGGGCGGAACCGAGAGGGGCGGGTTGTATACTGACAACGAGAACGATGAGCGAAAATGATGGAGCAGGGCGGAGCCTGGATCAAGAAACGCGAATATGATGAGCGCGGAAGAGGAGCAGGAAAATGAGGAACAAGATGACGAACCCTTCCCTCACGGAGGGTCCCCGTTTCTCCGTTAAATTGCCCATTTCCTCACAGATGGGCGAAATTGCAAGTGTATTTCAGATCGCGGATTGCTACACTTCGACTGCTTTCTGTCCAAAATGCGGGTCATATTGTCCAGAAGGCTGCCATTCTGTATTCCGTCCTTGCGTGCGATCCATACAGGCACACGAGAGAGAGAGAGAGAGAGACGCAAAGAGTATGTCGTGCTGCTGGCCAGCAACCGCGACGCCCTCCTGGCAGTGCACCATCCTGCAGTCCACGCCGAGGTAGTCCTGCGGTACTGCCGTCGCTCGACCGCCGACGGCGTCGGCGCCGACCTGCTCCTCGTCGTCGATCTCCTCCTCGTCGTCCTTCGAGAACCGAAAACCGTGCTTGCGAGCTTGTTTTGCTGCTGTGGGACTTCTGGGGACATCTCGGGGGCTTCAAGGCGCCTCTGGGGGCCTCCGGGAACCTCTAGAGGCCTTCGGGTGACGTCGGTCGTCGTCGGTCGTCGTCGTCGTCGTCGTCGTCGTCGTCGTCGTCGTCGTCGTCGTCGTCGTCGTCGTCGTCGATGTGGTCGTCGTCGTCGTCGTCGTCGACGTTCATGTGGTCGTCGTCATCGTCGTCGACGTCACAGCCGCCGTCGTGGTCGACGTTGTCGTGGTCGTCCTCGTTCTGTCGTCGGTTTCGAAGTGTTTCTGCAATGTATTATTGCCAATGACTGCACGTGGCTCGGGAAACTGACCATCCATGACTGATCCCAAGAAGAGGGGCCTGGAGACCGATGTTGATCGAATGTTGGGGAAGGGGAAGGAAGCGGTCGATCCTCGAGGATGAATGGTTTCAAATATTGTGGCCTCTTTGCGCCTCCAGAGGCCCGCTGGGAACCGCCAAGGAACTGTTCCTTTGAGAAAACGCGCTTCGTAGATGTTTGCCTGGAAAAGAACACCCTGACACGTGGGAACCGGGCAGGCCGCCCAACGCATCGAGCACCCCTGGAGAACCATGGAGACTCCCCACCTGGACACCAACCTCCATAATAGGGGGAGGCACCCCCACCAGGGTGGTTTGAACTGGCCGCGTTGTTCCTGAGCGACGCTCCCATGGCGCTGGCGCTGGGGGCCGTGGATGACAGGCTCTGCCGGCGCATCTGCGTGGACGACCTCGCGCGGGATTGCCGCACAGACTCCGGCGCTGGCGACAGGCACCACCATCCAGGACCTTGGGGTGGTCGCCGTCGCAGGCGATGACTGGCGCAGCGACGTGACGGGGGGGCGGATAGCTGACGCGAGGAACCGCTTTGCCCGCATCGCCCAGCTGCCCGTCAGCTTCGGCCATCGCTGCATGCTGGGCGCGGCGGCGGGCACGGCTGCCAGCTTGTACGGCGCAGCGTGCGGGCGCCCGCCCGCGGGCGAGCTGTGGGTGCTCCGCGCGGCAGCGCGGCACGCGGCACGTCGTCGCGACGGTTTCTGGGCGGCCGCGGAGGTCGTTCTCGGCGTGCTCGGCCCCAGTTGGCGCCTCGACCCGGCTGCCATGGCGAGCGTCGCCCCGTTCTGGCACATCGCGATAGCGATCCGCCGCGGCCGCTTCCCGGCGCAGCGGTGGCGCAGCGCAGCCGGAGCCGTCGCGGCGGGGCACGGGCGGCAAAATGGGGCCGATCTCGGCGGCCGTGCGCAGTCTCGCTGAGCTACGGCTTGGGCACGACGTCGAAAGCTTGACACGCGTCCAGGCCTCGCCGCGGCAGGGTGGCGCCCCGCGGAACACTCGTTGCAGGAGACGCGAGGCGAGCTCCTGGCAGCATGGGCCCGCCGCGAAGCAGCTGCTTGTCACCCGCCGCGGCGACATGGGGCACCTCGCCAGCGGGGTGGACCGCTGGGCCATGCGCTGGTTCTTTGAGCAAGGACCGACCGTCCTGGCACTTTTACAGGCCTACCACGACATGTTCGTAGAACCCAAGAATGCTCGAATCATAGAAAAAATGTTTTTATAACATAAACCCGAAGTGATAAACAAGACAACCTCGGCCACACATGTTCTAATAACATTTCGGGCAGACCACAACAGGTTCTTTGAACATTCTTTGGTGGGCCCATGGGCGAACCAGGACGCTTCGCCACTGCTTGAATTCTCGGGGGAAGACCCGTCGCGACAGATCTGCCGCTGGCGCTGCGCACGGTGCTCGCATGTGGCGGCAGGCTGGCTCTGTACCCGCACTGCCCGACGGCGGACGAGGACCTGAAGCACCGTTTCTGGCGGTGTCCGCACGTGCTAACATCAGTTCGGGCGTGTCCTCCTACAGACGGATTTTCGACGAAAAATAAAAAGTAATCAAGCATATTCAAAAATAGTGAAAACAATCCCCCAAACATCCCCACCAAAAAAAACAAAAACGTTCCCAGACTATGTTTGGACTGTTTCGGGATGTAGAGGGACAGGCCCGACTTAATGAGCATCGGTTAACCGATCCCCATCCCCAGCGGCGTGGCCTGGGCCTCGCTGGCCGAATTACCCCCCAGATGGGGATGTAGGCCGTTCCCTTCGGGTTTCGAGGGGTGTATCCCCAACCGGGGTGGTAATTTGGTGGGGGTCTTGAAGGGGATGAGGGTGGAGGTGGGTATTGGTTATACGATGCCGACTTAATGCTAGCAGGAGCCGCGGGCGGTTGCTCTGCGCGGCACAGGTTTCCGCCTGGTGGGCCTCCGCGCGGCTCTGCCGAAGACGAAAGCAGAATCGAGACAACTGCGAACCGATATACATCGGAAGTCTCTGAGAATCTTGAATTCCAACGTGGGTATGTTACTATAGAGAAGGTCATCAAACAAACGTTGAAACACATAGTATGACGATATGTGCATATGCGGTCAGGCAAATCGGGGCGGCATCAACGCGACGCCAAGGGGCGTCATGGACTCGAGACTTCAGCCTGGGAGCACGAGGCGCACGATTACCCATATCATGAAGTTATGCAACGGGTCGCTGCGTTCTGGGGGGTGCATGGACACGTAAAACACTGTTCAACTAAACGTTTGCTGGCGCCCGCGTCAAACTCTTGCTCCATCCCCCGCCTCCTCCAAATATCCCTTCACTGTGGCCCCACCCTCCTCATGCACCTCCGACTACCCCCAGTCCTCATCAGGCCCCTCGTCCAGTCTGTCAGCCCCTATGTGCCAATTCATGTCGTTCCTCGTCGTCCTCCTCCGCTGGATGAATTCCCCCATCGTCCACGTGCCTGCCCTCCTCCCATCCTCCACGCCCTAATGTAGATCATGCCCCCTCCTTCTGCCCCCCCCCGCCTGCCTCGTCGTCGTGATGCTGACACCGATGATGCAGCTCCTCCTGGGCCCACTTCCTCCCGTCTCGCCCAATCCTGTTCATCCCCGGCCCCTTGGCCACCCCTGGCATGGAGCCTCTTCATTCCCACAGCCCACCATCCCCACCCACCCCTCGCCTTTGCACTCCCAGACCACGGCCCCCTGCTGGACCAGCCGGGCGACCCGCGGAAACTCCCGCCCAGTGGCCACTCCAGCGAGCGGCGCGCAACAAATGCACAGTTCGAGACACGAGCTGTGTATTTCGACCGCGTACGACGCCCCCCCCGGGACCAGCCGAACGAGAAACGTGAAAATTCCCGCCCAATCAACAGCACCCGCGAGGGGCACACTCCAAATTCATAGATGGGAGCCACATCTGTGTACACAGATCACACCACGATCTGTGTAGACAGTGGGCCCACACACGAAACTACACAGTTGAAGACACAAGGTGTGTACACAGATCACACCTTGATCTGTGTATTTCGAAAAGATGAACGCTCGCCACCTCGAGGGCGCCCCGAATTTGCCAACCCAGAAACGAGGTCAACATGCCCAGCTAAGGGGGAATGCAAACACAAACACACACACACACACACGCACACACACACACACACGCACACACACACACACGCACACACACACACACACACTTCCCCGGCCCAGGGCGCCCCCGAAGGAACTGCAAATACATGCTTTCCTGGCCCAAGGCAACCAAGGTGAAACGCGGCACCAAGGCGGCCCCCAACAGCCCGAAGACGTCCCAAAAGGCTTCGAAGGACCCCAAAGAAGGCCGCACAGCAATCCGAAAACAAGAAAAAGGTGTCACATGTCATGGACCTCTTAATAGTCAAAGCTCCACGCGTCGCCATACAGACCGCTGCGCTGGCAAGGGGGCGAGCCTTGCCGCAGGCACCTATATATTTACATGTTAGCGATGCGACTGCGCTCGGCGGCCGTGCCGCCCGCGTTTGGAGTGCGCCCCGAACGCTCGCATTGGCAATCCCCTCTGTTTGGTTGCGCCGTTGTGCTCGGATATCGAAGAGGCGTTTTCTGCTGATACGGGCACGCGGCACCAGGGACTTACTTCACTTTTCGAACAAGGAGGGAAGACGAGGTAGGACGACGGACGGTGGAGCAGGGAGGCTAAGAGGAACGAGGAATAATGGGGGAGGTGGAAAGGGACACTCCCCCGCCCGAACCGCGGACGCTTTCGACACCATCCAATGGGGGGGAAGAAAAGAAGGGGAACGGAGCGAGGGCGAGGACGACGATGGGACGCAAACTGTCCTCGGTCCGCCATATGCTTGCGATTCGGGTGCGCGCGCTCTCTTCGAGACACGTCAAGCCCGACCCACACTGAATTCACTAATTCCTCCAAGCTGTGTAAACACCCTGTCCTCTGTACCCCCTGCTATACAACTGCTTCAGAACAGAGGGGCAGTGGATTCCAAAGAGAATCGGCGGGTCTGGTTGATGTAAATGGCGCCGCTGCCGTTTCAGAGCGTTGTCGAACGCTCTGAGAGCATCCCAGAACGCTCTGGAACGGAACTGTCTGGATTCTGGGTCCGTCAGAACTGGCACCCTCCCGAAGACGTGCTCCTCCGCGCGCTGGCCGAGGGAGCCCGCACGCCCATCCTGCTCCCGCCGCTGCCCGCCCGATTGCGCGACTGGCAGCAGCGCCTGCCGCAGCGCCGCGCGTGGACAGGCGGCGCCGGTGAGCGACCGACGGACCCGCCTCTGGCAGTGGCAGGTGGGGGGCCGCGGCTCGAGGGCCCCCAACGGCGCGCAGCCAGCAGCGGGCCTGTCGACGGGCCGAGGACGTCACAGAGGGTGGTGTATTGACGGCCGCCCTAAACCTCGCCGCGGGACCCGTGGAGGGGATCATCGACTCCCGGTTCGTCAGCAGCAGGATCGCAGCGCGCAGGGCGGGGGCAGGCCCAGCGGCATGGGCGCACGCCGAGATCTGAGAGTTGCTGACCCCCTAGTGCCAGAACGGGCTGCTCGTCGCGCACTGGATCAAAGGGCATCTCGACGCGGCCGGCGCCCAGGCACGGCTCGCGCGCGCTAGCCGCGCGCGCGCGGCTCCCGCCGCCCGCCCCGCTCGCCGGGAGGGACAACCGCTTGCGCGAATTGGCAGTCGCGCAGCGGCTGCAGGCCGACGAGCCGAGGTGGAGCTGGCAGCCCTGAAGGTCCAACCACAGCAGCGCCAGCGTGGCCCCTCGAGCTCGCAGACCCCCGCGCCTGGCGCCGCGGCCGGCGGGGCGTGCTTGCCGCGCCGCCAGGCGGGCAGGCGGGCGGCCGCAGGCCCTCCCGCCTGCAGCTGCTGCTGCACCGGCGGAGCGAGGGAGCGCCCGCGGCGGCGGCACCCGGGTCCGAGGCGCCGCCCTGCTCTCGGGAGAGGCCAAGAGGGGGGTGTCCAAGAGGGGGGGGGTTGCAAATCACGACTGGCGGCATGTGCGCGGCCCAGCGGGGAGGCCAGTTACGTAATGAAGTAAGAAGAGGCGGCATGAAATCTTGAGAAATATCATGGCCCCCGCCATGATATCCCCCCCCCCCTAGTCGTCACCCCCCTCTTTTCTGCCCCCGATGCTCGTCGGGCAGGCGCACAAGCCCTGGCCGGGCGGCCCCGCCTGCGCTGCGGGGCGTCGCCGCGCCAACGTGGCCGCGCCCGGCGGTGGAGCCGTGCGCGGGCCGCGGGCGAGCCGCGTGTCGCCCCCCCCTCCCCGACGGCCGCTGGCTGTCGCTGGGCTGCTCCGGTGGGTCAGAGAGCGGGCGGTGAGGACAGGCGCGTCAAGGCGATTGCAGGCGACGCGTGAGCGGACGGGGGTGGGGATGGAGAGATTCGAAGTCAGTGCGGGCCTCCTCGGCCCAGCCATCGTATTGAACAGCACGGCGACATCGTGATGGGGATCAGGAAGGCAGGTCGAATTATGAGGCAGGGAGACACCAAAATGGAAAGAGGTAGGCAACGAACGTGGCGATGACCCTCCGCAACTTTCGCCACTTCCACTGGCTCCTGGGTTGTCCAGTGGAGCGGAGGGACCCGCGGATCCAGCCGAGATCTCGTGGCTCCCTGAGGGACTGTCAACTGCGCAACCGTTGACACGGTCGTGAACAATGGAACGTTGTCCGATTACGTTTGGGAAAGCGTTCAAAAGCTCAGCAGATCAGATCATGTGTTGGATTGTGCTAAGCGGTTCTACTGATAGCCGCCGCGCATTTAAGCAAGGTTGGATACGTCTCGGGTATTTGTTTGGGGGAGCCGAAGCGTGACGCTGACGCCACCCCCTCCTGAGGGGCAACGATAGGGGAAGACTTGCATAGGGGGGTATGCATCGACCTGGAATCGGCCCCCGATAGCAAAACCGCACCTTCCTGGGGGTGTTGGGGCCATCGGACACTTCTCGGCGATCCATGGGCGATTGAGGGCTGATGCATCCCCCCCCCTATGCCTATCCCACCTTCTCGATGCCCCCGACCTCCCTGGAGAATTAGGCTCGCACCTCTAGAGGAAGAAACAACGCCATAAACATAAACTCGTTGCGCTCCGCGTCGATTCCTTGGATCTGCAGTGGACCCGCGCCGGGGGCGGCGCCGAAGGCGCCGCCAGGGGGCCCCAGCGCGGATCCAAGAAATCCGCGCGGATGTTTTCTTCTTCTAGAGGCCTCCTAGATGGGGTCGGAGTAGATGGGGTCGGTGGCGCCGCATCGACGATACGTCGGCGATGTATCGGCGATACACTGGCAATGTATCGGCGACGTCGGCGTGGACAGAAACGGGCTCCGCATCGAGCATCATCGCCGATGCATCGGCGATGCGGCGCGATCCTCCGGCCCCGTCTGCTCGGACCCCTTGTGGGAGGCCCAGATCTTCGAGCCTCGGAAGCCTGCAGAGCATCGAGCGCTAGCAACAGGGCTCGCCTGCGGCAGGAGGAGGAGGAGGAAGGGTAGGAGGAGGAGGAGGAGGAGGAGGAGGAGGAGGAGGGTAGGAGGAGGAGGAGGAGGAGGAGGAGGAGGAGGGAGGAGAGGAGGAGGAGGAGGAGGAGGAGGAGGAGGAGGAGAGGAGGAGGAGTAGGAGGAGGAGAGGAGGAGGAGGAGGAGGAGGAGGGAGGAGGAGGAGGAGGACGAGGAGAAGGAGGAAGAGGAGGAGGAGGGGTAGGAGGAGGAGGAGGAGGAGGAGGAGGAGGAGGAGGAGGAGGAGGAGGGGGAGGATGAGAGGGGTAGGAGGAAGAGGAGGGGGGAGGAGGAGGGGGAGGGCAGAAAGGGCGTCCTGCAGCAGGTACATGCCCTCGATCGTGCCTATCCACTTCTTGCTGCCCACCTGCGCACGCGGCGCGGGTCTGTCAAAGACCCAGGGGAGGGGACATGTCTCGCCCATTCTAGCACATCAGAGAAAGGTCGGTATACCAAGCGACAAATGATCTGCACATACAGATTTACTTTTAAAGCTCCGCCGACCCTGCTGGCGTGTGTGCGACGCTTTTCTGTTAGAGTCGTCGTCGTCGCCGTCGCCGCTCCCCTTTTCCGTTTGAATCGTCGTCGTCGTCGGCGCCGTCGCCACCAACCCTCACCCTTTCCCTGGCCCTCCTCCTCAAGCGATCCAGCCAGACGGAAATCGAACAACGTCGTAATTCGTAATTGAGTCGCAAGGGAGCCCCTTCCCTTTGATCCTTTCCCGGGGGGGGGGAGGGATCGGGGGGGGTCGCCGGGCGGGGTCCTTGGGGAGATCCCAGGGGAGGTCCCGGGCGTGGTCCCCGGGGTTGGTCCCCCAGGGTTGGTCCCGGGGGTCGCGACCCCCCCCCCCTCCCCGGCGGGTTCGCCGCCCTGTGGACAAGGGGGGCGAAGGGTGGTCCCCCCTGTCCTGCAGGAAGAACTCAATGCCGCCCCACCCCCCCCCTCGGTCCCCGCCTGTGGAGGAGGGGGGGGGGTGCAAGGGGAGGGTCCTCCCTGTGCCCTGTGGACACGGAGAACTCACGGCCTCCCCCCCTCTCCTCTTTCCCCGCTCCTCCCCCCCGTGGGCAAGGGGGACGTGCAGGGGGGTAATCCCCCTGTGGGCAGAAGGAACTCTGGAACCCTCCTTCCCCCTCCTCCCTGTCCCCCACCGAGGCACCCTTCTCACTCTCATCTGCTGTTGAGGGGTGCTGCGTATTTTCCTGAGTGCCTCCGAAAGGCCTCTGATCCATCCGCTCTGAAGCAGCTCCAAGTCACCACGGAGCTCCCTCAGAAGCTCCCAGAAGGTCCCCCACCAGAGCCAAGAGGCTCCTAAGAGTGCCCCAGGAAGGGCTCAGGAGTGCCTTCGTCGTCGCCGCCGCCGCCGCCGTCGTTGTCGTCGACGTTCCCCGTCAGGGTCGGCGGCACCGGCGACCAGGCCGTCGCAATATTTGCAACATACCGAATCGGATCGGCCCCGTCGGAGGCATCTTGTATGTACATGTGCATATCCACATGTATGTATAGCTTATATATTATATATATATATATATATATTATATATATATATATATATATCGGAGGTGAGGGGGTGAGATCGAAGTGGAACGGAGAGCCCCCCTACCGGGAAATCGATTTCGGTTTCGTGTTCGTGCGTGCCGTGCGTGCGGGTGAGGCGAAGCTGCGTGGGCGGGCGAGAAGAAAGTCTCCTGTGGCTGAGGCGCGGCCGGACCAAATGTCTCCCTTCCGGGCGGCCGCGGGCCCGCGGTGTCCCGCCGGTGTCCCGCTGGTGTCCCGTGTGGCTGAGGCGTGGCCGGACCAAATGTCTCCCTTCCGGGCGGCCAGGGCCCCGCGGTGTCCCGCCGGTGTCCCGTCGGTGTCCCGTCGGTGGTGATGATGATGATGATGATGATGATGATGATGATGATGACGATGATGATGATGATGATGATGATGATGATGATGATGATGATGATGATGATGATGATGTTGACAACGATGATGATGATGATGGTGATGATAATGGTGGTGATGATGGTGAGTTCGGTAGTGAGACCGAATGTGAGATCGATTGTGAGATCGATTGTGATATCGAAAGTGAGGTCGATAGTGGGACCCAATGTGAGATCGATAGTGACATCGATAGTGAGTTCGATAGTGAGATCGATAGTGAGACCGAATGTGAGATCGATTGTGGTATTGATTGTGATATCGATAGTGAGATCGATAGTGAGATCGAACGAGAGGTCGATCATGACTTCGATAGTGAGTTCGATAGTGAGATCGATAGTCAGATCGATTGTGAGATCGATTGTGACATCGATTGTGATATCGATGGTGAGATCAATAGTGAGACCGAATGTGAGATCGATAGTGAGATCGATTGTGAGATCGATCGAATGAGATCGATAGTGATATCGGTAGTGAGATCGATCGTGAGACCGAATGTGAGATCGATCGTGAGATCGATAGCCAATTCGATTGTGAGATCTATTGTGAGATCGATTGTGATATCGATAGTGAGATCGTTAGTGAGATCGAGTGTGAGATCGATAGCCAGATCGATTGTGAGAATGATCGTTAGTGAGATCGATAATGAGATCGATAGCGAGATCGATAGTGAGATCGATCGAGTGCGACGGTGGTCCCCCCCTCGCCTCCTTATCACCCGAAGGGTGGTCTATGCGATATATATATATATATATATATGTATATATATATATATATGTGTATGCAGGGAAGATGGAAAGAGTAAAGTTGGAAAGTCATGTAAAGTACCCTCGCTTACAGGGAAACACCGCATCTGTCCGAGGCCATCGAAAGGGGAAACTATTCGGAGCAGCGAGGCAGCCGTTGGAAACACTGGCTGGGCCGCGGGAGAGCATATAAAAAGGCCGGAAGTGGAAAGAACGCCAGCGAGCGACGCAGACGCCCACCAGCGAACAGTGCGTTTGGCAGCGTCGAGCGGGCCAGGCCTGCGCTGCAAAAGCTAGGAGTGACAAGCACTGAGAATACAGGGAAGCTCGAAAGAGTAAAGTTGGAAATGCATTTAAAGTACCCTCGTTGATTGGTTAAAATCGCATCTGAGTTAGTAAAATTCGGAAAACAACGGTTCGGTTGGCATAGGTATTTCGCAATAGGGGCGGGGCAAGCGTTGGAACTAGGCAGGAACTGAAAAGAGTAAAAGGGCCAGCCCAAAACACTCTTTCCAGCTTCCCTGTAGAGATGCCTGTGGATGGTCAGATGTGCTATATCTGCAGATGTGTGTAAGTCTGCGTGTGCGCGCGTGTTACTTGACTGGCGGGACGCTGGCATGCCGAAGTGTCTACCTCTTTGAACCTGTCGGCTCAACCAACTGGCGAGCCGAAAAAAACAGAAATGCACAAACACCTCCTATGTGATCCACTATTGCATCCAATACAGCATAAGATGGCCTTCAAGACACCCAAGACGCCTCCGAGACGGCCAAGATGACCTCCAAGAGGGCTCAAGATGACTCCAAGATGGCTGAAAGGCCGTGCAGACAGCCCAAGGGGCCCCCTAAGACGCATCAGGAGGGCTTCGAGAGGACCTCCAGGAGGCCAATATCATGGATGTCCATCTAGTGTTTCTGAAGTTGTCGCGCTCTCGCCAATTCGGGCTTCCAATATCCGACGACAACCCCCAAGGTAGCCCCCAAGAGGTCCCAGAGACGGGTCAACATTAGAGAACACTGGAGGGCACCACGACGGCCCCACAGACCCCCACAGAGGGTCCGACGACAGCACAGGGGTGACACCAAGAGTGCATCCGAAGGCCAAGAGGCGCCTCAGAGGCCCTGAGAGGCCCCCAAGAGGCCCCAAGAGGCACTCGAAAGCCCCCAAGAAGCCCCCAGAAGTCCCCAGAGGCCCCCAAGAGCCTCCCGCTTCTCAAACTCATCATTCTCATCCTCGTCCTCCGTTCTCTTCCCCTCACAAGTGTTCCCCCATGGGTTCCACAACGGCTGGTGGCACACGTCGCCCAGCAGCTTGCCAGACTCCGGCCCACCGTTTGGTCACATGGCGTTTTCACAAGGCAGGAGGTTCACCGTAGGCGTCTTCGATGTATGAATAAATGGTCAGGACCGCTATACCAAACGTAACTGGGAATGAAGAGCCCGTCTCGGCCGAGGAATGGGGTTCCGAGGTGCAGGGGCTGGCGACTCGAACAAGCATTTGGTCATAAAAAGGTCTGGGCTGGAGGACGACGGCGAGCGCCCCGACCCGATCTGGGCCAGACCTATCCTGGCCCGATGCAGTCGAAAATGGTCACATGGAACCTTCGATAAGCAACGAAGCCCCTAGTTGGTCCCAGGCGGGCCCAGACTTGCACGAAACGCCAGAGTCAAGTCTTCAAAACAGACATCGTGAACCCCGAGCCTCTTTCCGAAACCATCGTGGACCTTGCTTGTCGAAGAGAGCGTACGCAATGACGCCTTCTTCCTCCTCCTCCTCCTCCTCCTATTCCTCCTCCTCCTCACTAGTGCCATGTAACCCGAGGAAGCCATTTAGGATTTAGGAGACCCCCGGCGTTATCGCTAGTACCAAAACACAAATAACTCATCGCAGGAGGCGGATTTGAAACACCGATAGATTTAGCACCGTTCCCGACAACAACAACAAAAAATAAGCAGTGCCTCACCCCCCCGTGACCGACACCTATAATCAGGACTGGCGATAAGAACGCAAACGCCTAGAACGAATTGCCAACACCCTGAAGGGCTGGTCGAAAACCGCAAAAGACGGGCCGCAAAAGCAAGGACGCAAGCGTAGGCACCCTCAGAGCATCCGTGTCCTTACTATGAGTTTGGGCTGTAATGACATCGATGACAATGATGATCGATGTCCCTCCTCCTCCTCCTCGCCGCGTTCGAGGATTGCTGGGGGCCCTACAAGAATGCAAAGCAACGGCCGAGTGCCAGGGTGCCAGGATAACACTTCGGGGTGCTGGGCGCGTTATCGTTTCACCAGAAGGGGGGGGGCAGAATGGCTTCATGAGGCTAGGCTTAGGTCGGGCATGTCCCCCTACAAGCGGATGTTCGACGAAACAAAGATAATACACCCAACAATTTCAAGACGAGGGACACGCCCGGCTAAAGGTTAGGCCTCCAGAGTACACTAACAAACAAAACATACAAATGCAATTGCTGGAAAACCTCCTCCTCGTACCCATTGCCACATTACCCGCTCTCCTCCTCATGCTCATCCTCCTGCCTCCTCCCACCATCCTCCTCCTCCTTCGCATCCTCCTCCTCCTCCTCCTCCTTATCATCATCATCATCATCATCATCATCATCATCATCATCATCATCATCATCATCATCATCCTCTCCCTCTCTCCTGCTCGAAGAGCTTGAGCTGCACGAGCTCGACGGCGACCACGACGACGAGCTCGACGACGGCGATGAGCGCACCGACGGCGGCGGCGAGCGCCGGCTGGCCAGCAGCCAGAGCCTGCAGGTCCTTGTGCGCTTCGTCGATGCGCTTGAGCAGGCGCTGAATGTCCTTCGCCGGGCGGCGCGGGTCCCTTTGCCGCCGCCGCCGTTGCCGCGGCCGCCGTGGTCGTCGCCCCCGCCGCCGCGGCCGCCGCCGCCGCGGCCGCCGCCGCCGCGGCCGCCGCCGCCGCTGCGGCGGCGGCGGCGCTCCAAAAGAGTCCAAGGGCGGTCGGACCCGAAAACTACCCCCTCATCAAACTGCTCGACATCTCTTTGCACGAGGGGCGCCAAAAGCATCCCTGTGCATGCACAGCGGGTGCCAGTGCACAGCCGGTGCCGAAGCGGCTTGCCTCCAAGCGGAGGGGAGGCGAGGCACAGAAAGAGTGGCTGTATGTATTGCTGGCCCACCAGCATGCAGCAACGATCCAGGAGAAGGATCAGAAATCCGACGCTACGTAGGAGGAGGAAGGCCACGACGACGACGATCGCGACCGCGGCCGCCGCCGTGGTCGCTGCGGCTGCGGCCGCCGCGGCTGCCGGGGTCGCCGCGGTCGCCGCCGACGTCACCCGCCGCATCTCCCCCCCTTTGCCCTCCATCCTCTTCGCTTTCCCCTCACATCCCTCCGATGTCTCTCCTTCCCTCCCCACTTCCCACCGTCGAGTCGAGAAGTGAAGTCGGCCGAAATGTAACACGTGGCTGAAAAGTACATAACACATTGCGTACACTGTAACGACATGTGCCTGCCAACGAAGTGGAGGATGCGGTGCGACGCGACGCGATGCGACCACCGTCGCGGACAGCGTCTGGGCCTAGCCCACACCAGGTGGGTGAGGCCGTGGCCTCGAGAATCTGGCTTGTATGCCATGCGACACATAAAAAATTATGGGAGCACGAAAAAAAGAGGAAGTCCTTGGTGTCGGTGTCGGCGCGAGCTGGGCGTGTCGTCTCGAGTTTCGCTGTGCATTCATTTAAAGGGTCCTGGTCCTGGGTGTTTTCTGGTGCGAGGTCGGTGTAGTGATGTTCGAGCGCTGCCCATGTTTCAGTATCTTGCGTTGTTTGCGTCCATGTGATGTCGTTTGGTTGTCCTCTCCATTGGGTCTGTGCGGGTGGTCAGTGGAGGTCTGGCCTGCGTTGGCGTAGACACGCGCTTGCGTTGGCCACCGTGCTGCCTCTGTCCCTGCTGGCGCCGCTTGCGGTCTCGTTGCCAGCGTAGCACTCGCCATGTCCACCTCCTTCGGTCGTGGTTCGCGACTCCTGAACTGCGCTGGACATTTCGCTTGCGCACCAGCCCAAGCGTCGACGCCGTGATGCTTAATAACGTGCTCTGCTCGTCGTGTCGCTCTCTGAATCGATTCGCCTCGAAGTTCCACCGGGCCTGCACTTCTGCTGTCTTCGCCGCTCTCGCTTTGCATGTCGGGCGTGATTGGCGTTTCGCGCCGAAGCGGGTTGCTGTCTGCGTCGTCGCTGGCGCTGCCGGCGCTGTGGTCGTTGCCTGGTGTCTCGTTTGTGCAATCGAAAACAATGGGTCTCTGGCTGGTGTGAAGGTCTGCTTGTTGTGTGGCGCGCCGCCGCGATCTGATGATCATGCGGAACACGCGTCGTTGCGTCCGTCGTAAATGCTGCCGGAGGGGCCCCGTGAACGTCCACGTCCCCGCTCCGTAGAGTGTTATCGGTGCTACGTGCTACAAAACTATTAAAGATTCGAAGCTCGGTGAGCGAGAGGGTCGTGCTTGTGCTTGCTGGCCATCTCCTGTTTACGAAGAACGAACGACGTCCACTCTGCTCTCGCGCGGTAGTGCATTGTCATGTCCATCGGCTCGTGGAAGCTGGTACATTGTCCGAGGTGTTTGAAGCTGCCCTCGAACGGATTGATTTCTATATCCATTTCCTAGACACGTGCCGTGCGTGAGCTCCCTCTCCCCGCTCCCCTCGTCTATTGGCTCAGTATTGGCTGGTCACCAGCACGTCGTCGGCGAAGCGTAGGTTGATGAGCGTGGCGGTGCTCGCGAATGATAATTCAATTGCCTTCAGGTCTCGCTGCCATTCGGAGACCAACGGGCCAAGGATGTGTTGTAAAAGAGCGTTGGAAAGTAGGAAACTCAGTGGGTCGCCCTGCTTCGTGCCCCGCATAAGGCTGAAGGGTCTGCTGTTGTCGTCTGTCCTCACCGTAGCTGCATGTCCCTCGTGGAGCTGCTGAAATTGTGCAAAATGTATCCCGGCGTTTGCGCCTTATACTATCAGTACTGCCCATCTGCTCTTATGCCCAAGTGAATCTGAATTGTTTTGGAACCGCGTGCCGCGACCCATAGATGCTGGCCACATTCGTGCGCCCGCCCACGTAAAACGTGGAATGTGGAAAAAGTGATACATGATTGAGTGCGCTGGTCTGAAGCCCGCCTGGTTGGCAGTATGGTGGGCACCAAGTGTTGGTTGTAGCCTGTTGTATAGCAGTCGGCTAAAGAGCTTGTACAGGGATGGTATCGTGCAACTGGGGCGGTAGGTTTGTGGGCGTGTGAGATCACAGCTTTTTGGTATCACTGGGATAGCTGTGCTCTGCAAGCTGGCCGGCGGCTCGGCGCTGCGTTGCAACATTGTGTTGTTCAGGTGGGGAAGCGCACATTTGAGTTCTTCTGTGCCCCCCTCCAGCATAAACGCGAGGGACTCAACACGACTGGGACGCAGAAACAACAGACTGCCCCACGACTGTGAAGCAGACAACCAGCGCGCCCCACGACCGTGAAGTAGAACAGCAATAGGGTTGGTTGCTTCAACATCAACAACTGCACTGCCACCAAAGACATGGACACAATTTAACTTGTTTAAAACTCGATCCTGCTAAAGGTCGGCCACCCCATCAACATCAACCGTTAAAGTCGAGCCATACTTGGGATAGAGACCTTTGAGCAAGCGACTCAACAGATGTCTCTTCTGTGGCGACCTTTAATTCACACACCGTGCCAACAAGTTTGACTTCATTGCAGATAAACGAAACGCAATGCGTGCAAAGATGCAGCGTCGAGCCGTCAGGTCACGGCAGACTGACCACAAAATGCTCAAGACGCTCCATCGCGCCGACACGGTCCCCAAGGCAACCGCCAGGGGGAGGGCGGAACTGAGACCGAGAGGCCTTGAAGCATTTGCTGCAGCCCCAGCGCCCACGAACGCATTCCCATTCTGACTACCTGCCAGACCACCCCAACCCAACCCGAAGACCCGAATTTGACTCGAATTTCGGGTTGGGGGGGGGAACGGGTTCCATGTGCTTTTTCAATGCTCCCCGGCCCCCCCCCCACTGGAAATCGATGGTAAATTTGGGCCTTCGGGTTGGGTAGGGGTGGTTTGGTGGGTGGTGGCATTCACGGCGCCGCGAGGACCGTGCCTCGCTCCAAGGTCTGACGTGCTCGCTCCACGGCACATCTGAGAGATGCAGCCTGGGTCACGCGAAAAACAAGCCAGCAGCAAGCTTGCACACCGTGCGCGCAATCACACTGGTTTTGTCCAGAGCCTCCTCTTGGTTGGGCTCGGCCGCTGGAGAGAGTCGAGAGCCTGCGTTGGCCACCTCGTCAGCCTGCAGAGGGAAGCACTAACGCAAATCGCCCACCGCTATCGAAACCGAACTCTGTACAGGATTCTCTTCACTCTGCCTGGTCCAGCGTGAGAATCGCCACTGCGATCTGATGGTCTGAATATAGCAAGGCTTCGTCCCAGCACTGGAATTCCGCAAATATTGACGAAGGTGTACCATCCACACAAGAAGAGCACACTGCACAAGCGTGTCGTTTCGAAGTTTCGCGGGTATGTCTTGGATCGGCGCTGATCACCCCATGCGACACCTCTGGCGCCCCCCCTGGTTCGCTCCGCGCGCCAGAGAAATGATTCAGCGCCGACACAGGAAATACGCGCGGGCCCTCGAAAATGGATGTTCCTATCATATATTTGTTCTTCGATGCCGGGGGCTTGCCGGCGATAGCCAAAACATTCACCGTGCTACCATGAAGGACGCCAAACAAGCGAAGGAACGTCCATGCCATTACTCACGAGCCGTACGCCATTCGGCACGTGAGTAGGATATCAACCTCAAGCAATCGAAAGCAGAAGAGGGCGAAACTCCAGGGGCGGCGCATGAGGCGACACCCAAGGGGACCCAGCGCGGATCCAAGAAATCCGCATGCCGTTGTAGGACGAGGATGATGCCATGATCAAATTCGCTCAGAATGCGTCCCAAGATTTCCAGAGTATCTAGCGGCCCTCGTCTCTGCTGCACTTGCGGAACAACAGAAACAAATTCCAGGAAATCCTGAACACTTTGGAATGTATCAGTATGATGACCTCTTGCTCTTCCGAGTTGTTGCGTTCTACTTCGACCCAAGAGAGGCGGGGGCCAGGAGGTGTGCGGGTGGCCGCCTTCGGCACTGTAGTCGTCGGTCGTGATGATTGTCGCCGTCGCCGTCTTCGTCGTCGATGCCAGGGACGCGTTTCTCGCCGCAGAGTGAAAGGAGGAAGGAGAGCAAACGGACATCGAAGGCGCAGGAGGATGGGAAGAGGTCGAGCAGGGAGATGGATAAAGGAGAATCGAAGGATAAGGACGATAATCGAGGGAGGCGCAAAAGGAAGGGGAGCAGGAGGTCGAGGATCGAAGGAGAAGGAGGAAGAGAGTCGAAAGACACATGACACCTAAGGATTGCTGCAAGTGATTGGGAGCATCAAGATAATAGACAAGCTGGAGCATGCTGACTGAAGGGGGAGAAGGAGGAAAAGGAGGAGGAACAAAGTAGCAGGATGAGGACTATGGAAGGGTGGAGGGATGAGGAGGGCCAAGTGATGGACAGTGGTGACCGAGAGGGGGAGCACGAAGGCAAGGTCCTCAATGCCGGGGACGTCCTTCTCACTGTAAAACTGCATGCGGTACCAGCTGACGCACGTCTGCAGCGAGCGGTAGGCACAGCCCCAACCGTCGTCGTTGAACTTGTCGTGCATGTAGTGGTTGTACCTGGCTTCCCAGACCCCGACGTCTTTATTTTTTCATAACGCGGGCCCCCAGCGGTCTGGATCCTCTCCCAGGGACCGGTTTTGCGTCCCGGGCCGTGTTCTGACGGTCCCGAGGGCGGGTAAGGGCCCCCAGAGGCCGAAAATAGCGAAGAACTCCCCTTCATGATCTTGTCATGGCCCGAGGGGGTCTGGGTTGGACGAGGGAGGGGGGGAATGGGGAGGAGGAAAGGGGGGCCACCTGTTATGCTCGTGGCCCCGTCTGGGTATTCCATGCCCGCGCGCGTCGCAGAGGCCCGGCGCGGAGGCGGGAACCGGTCGGGACGGCGGCCGCGTGCGGGGGGAACGGTCCTGACGTGGGGCGGGAGCGGCCGCCTCCCAACCGCTCCCCCCGACCCACTACTCCAAGCCCGCGCCCTTGTGCTCCTCTTGCCTCATCCTCCTCCTCCTCCTCCTCCTCCTCCTCAGCCCCCCATTCGTATTCTCGCGAAGATGGCGACGGGGCAGGAAAAAGGGAGGGGAGAAGGGGCAGGAGAGCGAGATGGGGGCTGGTGGGGCTGGGAGGAGTTGCGACCGCTTCATCCCCTCCCTTGCCTCTGAGCACGGGCGGGTTGACTGGCTGGTGCGACTCCCCAGCTACTTCTGCCAGACCCCCCCCCCCTTTTTATCATCCCTACCCTCTCATCATCCCCGCCTTTTTTTCCTTCATTCTACTCCCACCCTCATCGGGCGACCCCTGGACGGTGTTCAGGGCGCATCCGCACCCGGAGTCTCAGGCGCGCGCGAGCCGTGAAATGAACCGTCCGAGAAATCAGTGGCATCCCATATCAACACTCTCTCCACCTCCATCTCCCCGCCCTCCCGTTCATCATGCCATGCTCCTCTGATTGACGCCACCAATTCTACATAACCTATGCCGCCCCTCCTCCGCGAAATTTCATGAGCACCCCTCTTGGGCCCCCTGAGTGGAGGCCCCTGTTGGACAATAGAGAGGACCACGCGCGCGCTTCGACCACGCTTGAATTTTTCCTGCTACGCAAACAGTTATTGAGCCACATGGCGTCGGCAATCGATCACCATTTGCACACACACACGACGAGATATATACATACATCTATTTATATGTATAGATACATATATAATATTGTCCGCCGTCTGCGGCGCTGCTCTGAAGAGTACGTTGAGTATCGAAGCCGCTTCCCCTCAGAGGGGCTAGAACTGCACCCATGAAAGAACCGCCGCCGCCCCCTGGCAAAAAGCGCGGACACGGGCTCGAACCCCACTGTAGCACTACAGCGGCAGAGCTCGGAAGTGGCTGGCCGGGTAAACGACACCGCCTTCAGGGAGGAGGAGGAGGAGGAGGAGGAGGAGGAGGAGGAGGAGGACGAGGACGAGGACGACGAGGCGAGAGGGAGAGAAACATGAAGTTGTGTGGACATCCCCATTTGGCCTAACCAGCCGAACACTAAAATCACACACAGAGGCTGTAGCACAGCAGGACGTTTGCTTGCTGCGAGCTGGCCGAAGGAGTGGACGCTGCCGCCACCCGCCGTGACGCCTGCAACTGGCGCTGCGTGGCCTCGGGCTGCGCGATGGTGCGGCCGCCATTCCGAGACCGCCGCCAGCGGAGCCTGGAAGCGAAGCAGGCCGGATCAGTGGCGAACATGTTGGATGCTCGTTCTGGGGACCTTCCTGGAGCCACTCGCTCCACTCCTGCGTCGAAGCTGCGTCGAACGTCAGTCGATTTGGGTCGACCCTGCGTCGACCCTGAGTCGAACCTGAGTCGAACTTGAGTCGAACTTGAGTCGAACTTGAGTCGAACTGGGGTCGAACAGATCCGCTAGGTGGGCTCCAGGAAGGTCCCCGAAACGAGCATCGAAAACATGGTCTCCAGCTTCTTCTCCCAGACCTCCCCAGCCGCCAGGGAGCGCAGGGTGAGCGTCTTACCGGTGACGGAAGCCATGTCGTCGCAGAGTGGGACAACCGGGAGGGCCGCTGCAGGGCCAGTCGCCTCCAAAAACGTGGCCCCACTGTCCGAGGACACGTCCTCAGATGCCAATAGGGTCGTCGCCGGGACATGGGCGTTGTGGAGGACGGAGATGAGCATTTTAAAGTCCATGGCCGAGACCGCACCAACAGGGAAGTGGCCACTGAAGAATACCCGCGTCAAAGCGAGTGTCGAGCCTGGGCTGCGCAATGGTTCCGTCCATCGAACGGGCCTGCCTGCGAGCGCCACGGTCATCACGCGTCTGACTACAATGAGGTCGGATACCAAACAGTCCACGCGAATGCCGCGGCCGCGAGCGAGGTCGAAGAGAGGCAGCGCCACTGATCGGATACTCGGTGCCACAAACGGTGCAGAAGAAGAAGTCGGCGCGAAGAAGTGCTGGGAGCCACAGCACCAGACAGCACAGCACCAGACTGTACTGGCTCAAGGCGTCTTGGCTCAGGCCGCCGAAGGCCCCGACCAGGAGCCCTGCCAAGGGTGGCGTGTCGTCTTTACCTTCTCTACACCACTTTTTCCGTTCTTCTGAAGGGGCCTCAGGACACAAAAATAAAAAGATGCCCCATATTTGCATATATTTTCTGGGTTTCTGTCTTCCCCCCCACTTCCCATATTTTCCCATATTTTCTGGGGAATCGAAGATTAATTGTGTCTGTGTGTTTTTTCCTCTCCTGATCTTCATCTCTCATCCCCTTCCATGGCGGGGCGCTGCCGAGTCTGTGTTGCCCGCGGAGTCGAAGGAGCCGCCCAGCGGGGCGCAGACCTCTGCGCGGCGCACCGAGAACTCCGCACGTCCTCGGCCGGGGGCCGACTCGGGCCTCGCCCGGTCGATGGCCGCGCTCGCCCTGGACTCGCCCGCGCCGGCTGCTGTCGTGGCCGCTCCGCTGGGCTTGGGCGACTCCGCGGCCGCAGCTGGGCTGGAGGAGGAGGAGGAGTAGGAGAAGAAGAAGACGGGAGGAGGAAGGATGAGGAGGAGGAGGAGGAGGAGCAGGAGGAGGAAGAGAAGGAGGAGAGGAGAAGGGGCGCCGCGAGCAGCGGCCCAGCCAGGGGGGGTGATCTGGCTCCCCTCCAGCTTCGTATCGGACCTCGTCGGGACGGCGGCTCCACAGCACTTCGACGTCATCCAGGCGGCCTCCATGCTCCACGGCGGCTCGATCGGTTTGGCCCCCAGGGATTTGCTCACCGGCTGGGAGCCTATGGCATCCGCTCTCCGCTCCCTTGCCTCCGACCCCGACGCGTTCGACGAGTGGCACTGCTCAGGCATTATTCCGGCGTCCGAAGCCCTCCGAGCTGTTGATCGAGCAGCGCTATGTGATAGCAACGACGCTCCTCTTCTTGTCCTCCTGTTCTTCTTGGGCTGCGGCTGACAAGGACTTGGCCGATGCCTTCCACGAGCGGTTGGGGAGGACCAGGGAAGCTTGTCACGCTTTGCTTCCAGGGGTACTTCGAGCTCGTGCACGGGATCCTCGGCACTCGTGTCCACGCTGGGCGGAGCTCGGGCGGGAGGCCACAGCGATGATCTTGCACTCCGCCCCCCAGCCAGAGGAAACAGTTGCTACCCAATTGTCGGACGTCTTGGGCTCTGGCCAGAGCCTGCTCCCAGACAGAGTGCTGGCCCCCAAGGCGGGTCGGGATCTTGCTACTCTTCTGGCGGTTGATGGCGCTCGCGCTCTTGCCTCCGTCGGTGCAGGCGGCTTGGCGTGCTGGTGCCTGGCGGATGCTTCGACGATTGGCCACCTCAGGGAATCTTACATGCAGCACGCTGCCGAGGACTCCCAACCTCGTACGTTGCGTTTGCTGGTTCCTCTGGACACTCTTCCGGGCAGCTCTTCGGCCACCAGCATTCTCGATGTGTGGGCCCACCCGCTCCTGCATAAGAAATGGAAGCTGGTGATTCGCAGCATCGAGTTCTCCTCCCAGGCCCTGGAGATCGTACAGTCTGGTGCTGTGGCTCCCACCACTTCTTCGCCTACATTCATGATAGCAACAGTGTCAGCTTCGACCACGCTTAGGTTCTAGCAAGCTGCGGCCAAAGTCTAGAGTCTATAGCATCGGGAGGGAAATTGCAAGCACGACACGCATCAATAGAAACCAAACCTTCGAGAGTTTTGCTGAAGGTGCCGCCCCCCGTGTCCACAGCAATATGACACGCCTCTCCGTGTGTGGCATACCGTGGTGAACAATCAGAAGTGAGGCCATGGAGAGCTTTTGCTGTGCTCCACCGATAGGCGCCGACCGTGCCAGCCGAGCTGAGGAGAGGGAGAGAGGAAGCGAAGAGGGAGGCGCGAGGAGGGGAGGGGGAGGGAGGGGTGCCTCCGCACGCCATTCACATGCGCGCCACGCGCGCTCAGTAGTGCACGGGGGGGCCCATGACACGTGGGCCTCCTCTCCACGGCGGGACCCACGCCGCAGCATGCCCATATTTGGCCATTGAGGCAGTTCGAGGGCGAGGCAGCCGGCCGTGGCGCGCTCCAGCTGCAGCTACATCGCTGCAACTCGCCGTCGACGGCCACGGACATTCACAAGAAGAAAGCGGCCGCTCGGGCAGAAATGCTCGAACTCCGCAAGCTCCAACCGATGCATATCCAGGCCAGCTTTCGCGGCACGACTGCGAGGGCAAGGAGAGTATCGATAGCAGGTAAGAGGGAGGAGAAAGATCGAGCGACTCTGAAGAGGCAAACATAAAGGGATGAGAGATCCACAGGCAGTTGTCACTTGCAACTCAGCCTGTCAGCCTGACGCGCACAGGCGCGAGTGAAACAACTGACTTGCGCGTTCAACACATGATGTGGATGTTTGATCAAGCGCGACAAGCTGGACAGAAAATGCTGCACCGTCCGCAAGCACATATCGCCCGCATGTCAGCACAACAACCTCACACACCAACCAAGCACAGACAAACTCAATATCGAACTTGGCCGGTATCAGACTTAGCCCTGATGATCCCACTCTTGCACAGCGCAATGACCATCCTGTGCCTCTTGCCAGAAGCTCATGATCATCGCGGTGCCGCAGGCGTGGCACTCGGGAAACCCAAGGAGAGGCCTCCAGGGGTTCTGGTACGGGCCCGCTCGCGGCCAGGTCGTCGGGCCTTCTCCAGCACAGTTGCCGCGCGTGGCCGCAGACGTGTCCTCGCGATACTGCTGGCATGGCGCCCGGACCCACCAAGTGGGAGCCGCTGGCCTGCTCGACGCCACGTTGTCGGGACCTCGCGAGCGGAATGGCCGTTGGGGCGGGCGGCGGGGTCAGAGGTGTCTCCTTTCAGGAGCCCATGGTCATCGCGGTGGGGAACCGCCTTGGGGCATGACGCAGGCCGTTTGGGAGGTGGGGCAGACGCGTCCCTGTCCAGAACTCCATGATTGTCGCGATGCAGCAGGTATGGCACTGCGGCATCCCAGGAGGGCGCCGCTGGGGGAGGATGGCACGGGCTCGTTCGCTCCTACATCGTCGGGACCTCTCGAGCAGAATTGCCGCGTGTGGCCGTAGAGGTATCCAGTTTCAAGTCCTCCTGGCTTTCGCGACGTTGCAGGCACGACATCAGGATAACCCAGACGGCGGCCGCCAGCGGGTACGTGGGCCCGCTCGCGGCCACACTGTCGGGACCTCTCGAGCAGCATGGCCGTTGGGGCGGGGGAAGAGGTGTCTCTTTTCGAGAACCCGGGAACCCATGGTCATCGCGGTGTAGCTGGCGTGGCACGTGGGCATCTAAAGAGAGAGAGAGAGAGAGAGAGCCGCCCGGGGCCTGGGGTGATGACGCGGGCCCGTTTGCGGACAGATGTTCGGGACGTCTCAAAGCGAAAAGGCCGTTGGGGTGGTGGTGCAGACGTGTCCCTTTCAAGAACCCCGTGATCATCACGATGCAGCATGTCTTTTACTGTGGCATCCCAGGGGGAGCCCCTGGGGGGTATAACAAGGGCCCGTTCGCAGCAAATCGTCGGGACCTCTCAGGCGGAGTGGCCGTGTGTGTTGGGGTCAAGCACGCCAGCTCGAGCGAGTCAAGCATGGCATGCCACCCGCCCTCCCACAACATAAGAAACAGTGCTGACGCAACTGGGGGCCGAAATCAGATCGGCAAGGTGGTTTGGCACAGCTGATGCAGCCGCGATGGCGGTAACCGATGGGAAATTCCTGGCGCGTCTCAAAGGCTGCGCTGGCATTTTAGCACGAGCCGAGGATGCCCCAGGAGGCCCCAGGAAGCCTCAGGAGGCCCCAGGAGGCCTCAGGAGGTCCCAGAAGGTTGCAGGAAGCCCCAGCGAACCCCAGGAGGCCCTAGGAGGTCCCATGAGGCTTCAGGAAGCCCTTGGAGGTGTCAGGAAGCCTCGGGGAATACTAGAAAGCCCCGGGAGGCCTCAGGAGGCCTCAGGAGGATCCACGAGGCCCTGAGGAGGCCCCGGGAAGCCCGACGAATTGGCGAGCTGGAGGCCCCCCCAGAAGGCACTATCATGCCCCGGGATGTTCCAGGAGACCCTGGGAGGCCCCAGGCGCCCGACGAATTGGCGAGCGAAACATGTGCGCCGCGCCGATGCGGGAGCGCAACTTTCAGAAAGCATGCGCGCGGCGCCAAGGCGAGAGCGACATTTCGTCCTGTCGCGCGAGACTGCGCCGCGCCCCATTCTTGCCACGCATTTCGCAACGCCGACGACAAGAAAGTCCACGTTGAGAAGCGATGTGCGCCGCGTCCCATTCCTGCTACGCATTTCGCATCGTCGACGACAAGACAGGGCATGCTGAGAGGAAAAAGCAACGACTTTGTATAGTTTTTTGAAAGCTAGGATGGGAGGGCCCCGATTCACGGCCGCGCGCGATGTGCGCCGCGTCCCATTCCTGCTACGCACTTCGCATCGTCGACGACAAGAAAGGCTATGCTGAGAGAAAAAACTACGACTTTGTATTGATTTCTTACAGTGAGGATGGGAGAGCCCGGATGGGGCCGCTATCGCCCGGCCAGAGAGGGGAGTAAGAGTATATTCTAAGAAGGATTAAGGATGGGGGCGGTTACACGTCTCTTTTCAGAGTCCCATGGTCGTCGCCATGTAGCTCCTCCTCCTCCTCCTCCTCCTCCTCCTCCTCCTCCTCCTGTATTATCCTCTTCTCTTCATCTGCTGCCTACCCCACGCGCCAGGGACCCGCTTTGCAGCAAGGATCGCTGTATGCATATGAAGAGGAGAGATCGAAATCAGGAGCAGCATCGGGGGGATGAGAGGAGAGAGCCTGCGGAGGCCCGCGCGACGAAGTGGACGACGAGACGGTCGCGAGAGTCTGGGGCGCGCAAACATGGATTAGATATCCATGGTTTTGGCGCGCGGTCGCCGAATCCATGGATCGGGGGAGGTGCCCTCCCCAAAGTGCGGCCGGCGCCGCCTCGTCCAGCGGCGGGAATATGGATTTCCCACGGAAACGGGAACCGTCGCTAATCCACGCACCCTCAATCCATGTTTGCGATTGCCTGAGAGAGGAGGGAGAGAGGGAACGTGTCCCGCTGTGCGCCCCTCCCGCTCCCGTCCCTCTACCCTGAGCCCCTCCCCCACCCATCGCTGCCCCCGCTCCAAACCCGCTACAAAGGCGCCCTTCTCCTCCTCCTCATCCTCCTCCTCCTCCTCCGCTTCCGCCTCCTCCTCCTCCTACTCCTCCGCTCCCTCCGCCTCCTCCTCTTCCTCCTCCTCCTCCGCCTCCTCCTCCGCCTCCTCCGTCTCCTCCTCCTCCTCCTCTTCCGCCTTCTCCGCCTCCTCCTCCTCCTCCTCTTCCTCCTCCTCCTCCGCCTCCTCCTCCGCCTCCTCCGTCTCCTCCTCCTCCTCCTCCTCCGCCTCCTCCTCCTCCTCCACCTCCTCCTCCTCCTCCTCCTCCTCTACTCTTCTGCTCCCCCCTCCAGCATCCGGGGCGCGCGCGGGCGAGCGAGCGGCGGAGGCGCTCGTACAGTCCCCGCACGAAGACAGAGCGCGTCTCCTCCCCGCCTTTCCACCAGCCTCGCGGCACGGCGAGCACGGCGGCTGATGGGCAAATGTTCCACCACCACTACCATATGTAGGACGGGGGAGAAGGGAGGATGAGGAGGTCCTCCTCCTCCTCCTCCTCCTCCTCCTCCTCCTCCTCTTGCTCCTCCTCTTCCTCCTCTTCCTCCTCTTGCTCCTCCTGCTCCTCCTCCTGCTCCTCCTCCTCCTCCTCCTCCTCCTCCTCCTCCTCTTGCTCATCCCCCTCCTACTGCAACTCCTCCTCCTCCTCCGC